GAAAAGAAACAAGTTAATCTTTACTCCCCTGTCCCGTTTTGCCGTTGCAGGAAGGCCCTCCAGTTGGCTGACGGGGGGCGGACGGACACTGACCTGAGCAAAGTGGTGAAGGAGGGCAGCTACGAGATCCCGCTGACCATCCCCGATGACGTGACCTGCGACACCTGTTCTGTCCAGGTATGGCCGAAATTTGCAGTATGACAGCTGCAATTTCCTAAAGCGACAACAGAGAGCTATGTCGATCATAGCCTCTCAAGAGCCGATTTTTTTTAAATAATGAAATCCGTTGTTTTTGGCAGTGGCATGTGGAGGTGGAGGACTGTGGAGACAATGCAGGCTGCTCACTCATAAGCCAGGATTCCTGCTTTGACGTCAAGATCCGTCAGGCCAAGTGAGTCAATCTTACAGACCCATTTTTAACCATGAAAATAACACTTTTCATATCAAACAAAACAACAGAATGAAGAAATGGTATCTGCAGTCTCTAACAAGTATTCAACCGTTTTCAGGAAAGAGGAAAAGAGGCTGTTTGGACTTATCTTTGGTGCAGCAAGTGCCATTGGACGCGGTATCGGGGCCCTAGTCAGGAAAGGCTAGAATGCGGTGTAACGACCTGGCTCGACTCGTACCCCGACGTCACGCGAGGAAATGGGAATATGAATACTTGTGGAACTCCGAGGTGTTGAGAACTGGTGCCAAGCAGACTTCACTACGAAAATACCAATTTCATTGTTTTGATATTCATACAATTGGATTGTTTAAAGTCATAGAAACAGGGCTATGTGCAGGAAGTTTTAAAAAATTGTTTAGATAGAAATACAGTTTTATAATGAGTCATACTTTTTCATATTATAAAGTAGTAAGTTATGTCCATTTCGACTTCCTCAGATCACTGGGATCATATTGCATTTTATATTTTTAATTGTATGAGTTAATTAGCAGTTAATCGAATGGAAATTGCCTTAGCGGAAGTAAGTGCACTTAGCCTCTATACCTTTTTTTCTGCAAATCAGTGTGAAAACGACTAATGGAATTGTCATACCTTTTTAGTGAAGATTTAAAAGCTCTTGTGCTGCATGGTTTTAGTACCTTAAAACGCTAAACTTGATTGTCTAATTTGGAGGAACAGATGACTAAGTTATCAATAAATTGTATTTGATTAATCCAAGCATTTCTATTTTCCTTCTCGTGAAAATATGACTGGAAATAAAAAGTGACCGTGGAATGTTTATGGATGGAATTTAAGTTAAGAATCGTCAAGCTACATCTTACAAATGAACAAACCCTTTGGTGCTATATTTGGAAAAAAGAAAATGAACGGGGATTTTGTTGCTTCAATCTATTAGACTCCTAAAGATCACAAAAACAAACTCTTTCGACAATCTACATAGAAGAAAATGAATGTATAGAAACCTTAAGAATTATCCTTAACCTTATAGGTCTACAATCCTTAAATGTTGAAAAAAAAGATATATAAAAATATAGCATCAACATACACAATTCTAAATTCAAAGGGATAGACACGGACAGAATGGGGAATACCAACCCTTGCTGAAAAAAAAAAAAAAAAAAAAAAAGAGGGGCGAGAGGGGAAGAAGGAAAGTAGGAATGGGAGAGAGGAAAAGAGGGAAAGAGAAAGAGAGAGGGAGAGAGGAAGAGAGAGAGAGAGAGAGAGAGAGAGAGAGAGGAATGAAAGAAGAAAACATGGAACACAGATGACAATATGAATCACCTTCAGCATTTGCGAAACGAGCAAATTTTGTCCGAAGTGTTGACTTGTGGAACGACCGGTGTCGACTGAGGCTCCGGTTCCCCGTCTTTCTGTTTTTCTCTTTCTGTCTGGTTATGTCCTTCTCTTTCCTATCGTTCCATCTGATATATATATATATAATATATATATATATATATATATATATATATATATGTATGTGTGTGTGTGTGTGTGTGTGTGTGTGTGTGTGTGTGTGTGTGTGTGTGTGTATACATATATATAAATGGGTAAGTATATACATATATATATATAGATTTATATATGTATGCATATATACCCATATATATATATATATATATATATATATATATATATATATATATATATATACATATACATGTGTGTGTGTATTATATAATATATATAATATATATATATATATATATATATATATATATATATATATAATATATTATATATATATATATATATATATATATATATATATATATATATATATATATATATATATATATATATATATATATATATATATATATATACATGTATGTATATATATGTATATAAATATATAAATGTATATGCATATCGAATTTTGCAAAGCTAACGAACATTGAAATGAAGAGAGTTTACAGTAAGATATCATAAATGCTATGTATATAAACAAAAATATATTTATTGAAGTCCTCCTTTAATAATATCATTTTCTATATTACGGGTAATTTTTTAAAAATGTACTTTGTTACAGGAGTAACTTTACTATTTTTT